ATAATGTTTAAAAAAGGACTAAAAAATATTGCTTTATATTAACTAATAAAGTATTTTTTACATTTTATAATGAACTAATAGCAGTAAAAACAAAACAATCTCATTTATAATATACCTCTGGGTGCTCCGGTTTCCCCCACAGTCCAAAGACATGCGGTACAGGTGAATTGTCCGTAGTGTGTGTGTGTGTGTGTGTGTGTGTGTGTGTGTGTGTGTGGATGTTTCCCAGAGATGGGTTGCGGCTGGAAGAGCAAAAATGTGCTGGATAAGTTGGCGGTTCATTCCACTGTGGCGACCCCAGACTAAGCCAACAAGAAAATTAATGAATTTACATTTAATTGAGACATTTAATTTCTGTTATATTTTTTGTAGATCAGCAATAAAACAAACAAAAAAGGTTATGTGAAATTACAAATGAGGATCTCTGTGTTAAAGTCAGCCCCAACCCTCTCCATACTCTCCTCTCAGATAGGATGGTGGGCCAAACCTAAGATTACAATGGGCCAACTTTGGCTGTGGGCCCTACTTTGGGCATCTCTGTTTTAGACATAAAAAACAGCTTGATATGCTGCAAACTGATATTTTCTTATTATATAATTCTACTTGCGTATAATCATGAACACATTTTTTTGTAGAGCAAGTAGTTTGACTGTTTTCTGCCATATATAATTCCTAGTCATTTCCCCACAGGCAACTAAATCTGAATATCTAAAACATATCACAAAAACAAAGGCATTTCCACATTGCAGAATAGGGTCATTAACTTATCATTAGTAAAATAAAACAGATATCTCAATTTGCTTAGAGTGGTGTCAGAACCACAATTTAACCAAAAGAAACTGGTTTAAAAAATAAGTTAAAAAGAGAAATTGGTTGTAAACTTGAAAAAGATCAATCAGCACAAATCTTCAGAATTTTTTTTTTGTGTTTCACAGAAGAAAGGGAGTCATGTGGGTTTTGGGATGAGTAAATGATGACAGAATTGAATTTCTGGATGACCTTTTCCTTCAAAGCCACAAAAAGTGCAATCGCAAGGATCTCCACCCTGAAAACACATTACGCCGGTCTTCATTACAAAGCACATTAAGCTCAGAAGAGCAGACAGGACGTAGGATAACACAACAGATCCACCCATCCTCTCGCGCAGTCAAGCGTAAAGATGAGACATCAGCGAATAAGGCCGTTTTCAGTAGTCTGCAATTCACATGTGCCGTCTATCCCATCTCTGCCAGATTTCCCAACACCCTTTCCCATGAGCCTGCGGGGCTGTGATCTACTGGAATGCTTCCCCGGCCAATTTCATTACCACTGCGGCCAGGTCTGCAATTCCCAGAGAGGGCCAGAGCTTGGAAAGTCTGACAGGAGACTTGAACACGGCCCAGAATGTATGCGGAGCCTATTATTAAAGAGATGCTGAATCGTGAGGACGCAGATGTTATAGGAGCGACAGAATTTGGTGTGTGACTTATTTCCACAGCTGATGCGAAGCCAAAGACCAGTTGAATGTTAATGAAGTCATGCCAAACATGGCAGAGAGTGAGAGGGAAGAGACTTGAAAGACAGCCTTTGTGAATCCACTTCTGTCCTTCATTTAAGCCACTCACGGTGAAGACTAAACGAATCATTAGAATACATGACGAAAAGCCTCAAAGAGACAAAAAATGCATTGAGTTTTGGTTCTGCATTAAAAAATGTTAAGTTTATGTGCCAGTGTAAACAATGTTCTCATAATTATTTTAATTTCTTTTTAATTTAGTGTTTAGGCAATCACTAAAAAGAAATCAATTGCTTTTTTAGACCAGGGCTTCCCAAACTTTTTAGCCTGCGACCCCCAATATGATGATGCCAGTGGCTCGCGTCCCCCAATATCCTGGTTATAAATACAGAAACCTTGCATGCAATGTCACACACACACCAATACACCCAGGTATATTCTTTGTTTAATGTCAGTGCTGTATATGGGCCAGAAACTTTAACCTGGTGTTATAAAATCAATCTGCTGCATGTGACGCTATTGCTATGTCTTTAATATAATGTAATTACCACTGGGGTCGCAATCCAATAGAACTAGTAACTATAAACTACTATAGTAACTATATAGTAATTATAAACAACTATATTTTTTTCTCTTCTGTAGGTTATGGATAAAATATGGTCATTCTTATATGATTTAATAATAATAAATAGATTTTTTTTAAATCACCAGGCGACCCTCCTTCATTGTCCCGCGACCCCTCGAGGGGTCCCGAACCCCACTTTGAGAACCCCTGTTTTAGACACTACATTTAGCAGAAAACATGATCATTTTGAAGACAGAAGATAAATCACGTATGTTTACATTGCACTATTTGATCTAATCCAGTGATTCTTAAACAGGGTCCACTAGGGGGCCTCAGGTTGACTACTCTTCGATTTTTGCACATATGAAGGGTTGGAGTACAGTAAGATTTTTTATAGCCATATACACAATGTCTACATGTGTACTTTTAATTGTTTAAGTGCCATTTAATGTCAAAGTTTCAACACTAAATCAGGCTTTTGTTCCACAGTCTAAAAAATAACTGAAGAAACGAGAAGGGTCTTGATGCAGACCTGGTGCAGTGCAATCTGAGCTGCATCCAATGCTTTTTAATTCGCTCACATAACCCCACCCCTAACCCTACCCATCACAGTGATGTCACTCGCTCCATTGAGTGAATTGTGTCTGACATTGCATCGCTGAGTGATGCAATCTCAGCTTGCATCATAAAGGCTGCATCCATATACTATTGATAAAAACAGGAACATACTACTGAAGACAGCAAAAAATAAAAAAACTGATGATGCTTTGTTATTCGCTTACTACTTTTAACTAGTCTAAATATGATCTTACCAGTCTTTTGGATTAAGCAAAGACATTGGACACGTATAAATCTTTCTAGTATGCGCACATCAATCATCGTTAAGCACAAGGCAATTGGTGTGTATGCTAATGTATGCGTGAAAAACAAATGATACTTTTTATACTTTTCAAAACTACTAAAAATAATCAAGACATTTTATTTTGTCCCTCTAAAAAACTTTCCTTAAAGTTCCTACTGTGTAGAAAACATTTAAAAATCGAACTTTAAAATCGATTTCAGACCTGAAAATATAAATTACATACATTATATATATATATATATATATATATATATATATATATATATATATATATATATATATATATATATATATATATATATATTTTATTTTTTTTTAGTTAAGGTTAAAATATAATATACAATGTGTGTGAATGAAAAAAATGATAAACAATCATATCCGGTGAGTATCAAAAAGATTAAAATATTATTGTGGATAAGGGTTGGCCTTTGGATAAATAAGCTTGAAAAATCATTTATCTATTCAATCATAATGCGATCATGACATAAACATAACAAACAACTCCGTGCCCAAAAGCATCACGCAAAAATGTGATTTCTAAAAAAACAGTCTATGGGATGAATGGAAAGCTTGAACGATATAAAGCAACTATTACTAGCACATGCAACAAAAAGACATGTCTTTATATGTTATGAATGGAGTTTAATGTAATAAAATTATCAAACAATAGTCCAAACTAAATTTAAGAGCGGATTTAAGCCAGAGAATGTGTGCATGCCTTCCAATGAATATTTTCTCGAACCTATTGTATAAAGGCTTCACATAAAATACATTTTTACACATGTGAAATGCATATTATGCACAAAATATTGCACAAATATATATGATTACAAATATTTGCCATCTTAAATCCTACCTTTCTTTGCAGCATCCAACCTCAAACACACCCTCAGCTCACTCCATTCCCGCAGATGCGCGTGTTGCCGGCAGACTCCACAGTGCGGCTGTATGAAGACTCTTTACTCAAGCCAGCCAAAAGCCACTGGACTGTACCAAACCCCCTAAATTTAGGGGGAGAAAGCAAGTATATCGAAACATTCCCCGTTTGTATATGTAAACCAATTAACGTGTTTAAAAATAAATAGATTTTTGTGTGTAATTAATGAAGGATTAAATGAAACTGCGGCTGAAGAGAAGTTTAGATTTGCAAAAATGGGCGATACCACTGCAGCGGTCCCCTATCGCGAATGTTTGTCTATTTGCTTCGTAAGCGTGCGTGGTCTTTTAAAGGCAGCACACGCTTCCAGTGCAATGGGCGTGTAACAGAGCCAGCGGGTGAAAAGCAAGACAATAAGAGTTAAACAAGAGGACAGCTGGCGAATAGTCGTTATTAGTGTCTGAAATGGCACACCGCCGCTACTCAATTGTTCTTCAGCGTGGCAAAATGCCCGATACTGTTTTGCAGTATTTTGTTGAAAGAGTATTTGCCATAACTGTCAGCAGCCTATAAGGATGTATAAATTTTGAGAGCACAAACATGGCTCGAGTTTCTCCCTAAAAAACAATCCTTTGTCGCTTTTGCTCCCCGTTTGCCTCATGTCACTTCCATGATAAAGGCGGGCAACGGCAGATGGTCAGGCTTTCTTTCCTCTTGCCTCTTCTTGAATTTAAAGATCAGCTAATTAAACAGGGGCATTTCCATGTGAAAGGAAGAGTCCGTGGAGATTTCCCTCCCAATTGGAGAGATGGAGAAGAGCCACCTGTAAATGTAATGGCAGTAAAACACCAAATCGATTTGGGAATTCTTGAGAAAGAAAACAAAACGAGTTTGTGAAAAATGAAAATACAAAAGGTCTGTTTAAGATGAGGGGGGGGGGGGGGGGATGGGGGGGAAGAAGTGTTTTTCCCCTTTGTTGCGATAATAGTTCGGTGCCAAGATAAGTGTTTTTATTAATCTGTTTTCAATATTAAAGTAGGTGCAACCTCTATACAAATCCAGTTAGTCAAACATTACAAAGCCAAAAAAGGAGATCTACAGAAACATGAGGTACTTTGGCTATACTAGGGATGTGTTTAGTTAAAATGTTAAATCTATCAATTCTAATGCAAAATAAAAAAGGTTCAGATTTCAGACAAGCTTTAATTTGACTCAAATATACAGTATTTTATTGTAACAATAAATACAGTGCCTCATTACTAAACACAGCCATTTGACACTTCCCAACAATCAAAACATCCTATTATTTTAATATGAAAACATACATAAAAATTCCAAGGCATTTTTTTTTCTCTCCACAGATCCATCAGTTGCTTTCGGCCAACTGTATGCGGCGCAGATTCTCTTTCACTCGTACAAATTCTGGGACATTTTTCTCATCCTCAAGACGCCTCTGTTCCTCCATCTCATACTGTAGAGAAATGGAGAACAAATGATAAACTACAACATACAAAATGATTATTTTGTAACACAAGAAATCAAGAGCAAATTCTACTGGTCACTTTACAATTAAACTGTATCACCAGACATCTGGCCAACTCTTGATCTCCACTTCATTTGAGGAACACAGTGGATTGGGAACAGTCAGTACCTCCTGCATTTTCTGCTGTCTCTTGCGAAGCTCCTGTTCTAGGTCTGAAGGAGGTTGGAGGGCAAGTTCCTGCTCTCTGTGCAGGTCAAGTCTCCTCTGCTGTAACACACGCTGCAATTCTGGTTTCTCCTCCAACAATAGGCCTCTAAAATTTATAAAACTTCTCTTTAGCAAACCTGGTTTCATTGGAATAGAGTAGTCAACATCTGAAGTACACCAAAAAGTATTCATGGAAGGGTTCCTAAGACTATTGAACACCCATTCTTGTCTTGGGACGTTTGATCCACTTCAAATGTGAACCACTACAAAGATGAATGCAGGTTTGATGCAGATTATGTTTATGTTTGATAATATAATGAGTCAAGTGAAAGGTGTACAGCAATGCAAACAAATACGTCAAAGTTTAGAAGTTGTTCACCTCTTATGAGTGAGCAGAAGCTCCTTGTGCAGACTTTGGCGACTGGGACAGTCACCAGGTGAGCCATTCAGTTTCCGGAACTGAATACACTCATCTCCACTGTCTGAGCTGTGCTGGGACAGCGGTGAATGACACACATAACTCTCTAGAAGCACAAAGATGGGAAACATTCAGGCTTGTGCATGTGAACTAATTTGTAATGTTTTAGTTATATTAAAAGCAAGTTTACATGCATCAAATCAAGTGCAATAAAGCTTATTTTAGTAAAACAATGGCCATTGTTAATTACACATTTACAGAACACCCTGGATTTAAAAAAATAAATAAAATACATTTCACAATTTAAAATATATCACCCATTTGATAGCAAAAAGTTTGATCATTCATTTTTTTATACCACCCGTACCCCAATGCACTTGCTTAGCTATTTAAAACCAAGCAAGTTCCTCTGACTTGCTTTGGAAAAAAAAAAAAGATGCATAAATTAAGCACAACTGTTTAAGAAAGAACAAAAAATAAATAAAAAATAAAACATACCCTTTTTGTGATGTCTGAATCCAGGTCGCTGGAGAGAAAAACAAACGAGAAGTTAAAAATTTACACAACTTTATCCAACATCCTAAAAATGGAAAATAATGCCAGCATGTCCACCTGCTGATGAAGCACAGAATGGAATCAGCTCAGTGGACTGAGATGACACAAGCTCTGCCTCCTAATGTGTGCTGGCTTGATTTACCAACACAGAATAATGACAGCAAAGAGGGCCATTTATAGTGCAGCACTGAATAGGACAGAGTACACCCTTCATTACCTGGGCTTCCGTCGCAAGCAGTAAAATGTTTAAAAAATAAATAAATAAATAAATAAAATAAAAAAATCACTTTAACAAATAGAAAAGGAAAAAAAAAATTGCAACTATAAAAATATTGTATACACCATTTTAGAATGTGCATTAAATAAAGATACAAACAGAACATTTATCCATTTAAAATATTTATATTTTATTGTTTTGAAATTCCATAGTTTCAGCAAATATCAAATTATTAATTTGAGAAATTAATGACAACTTAGAAATGCTGTCAATATGAATAACATTGTATTGACATGCTGAACTTGTATGCACACTTTAGTGTTTAAACGATCTCAAACAACAACAACAAAAATAGATAGCAAGAGGAAGGAAAGAATAAACCATGCTCCTCAAAAATAAAAAATTGGTTCATAGGATATTTTTTTTTTTTAGCCAACTGCTTTCATCAAAATCACTGGTACTCAGGAGACACTCATTTTAGCTCGTCTTGCACCACACCCAGGGCATTCAAGAACTTGTTCAGTACACTTCTGTTTTTGGACTTCTTGAACAATTACAGCAACCTAAAAAAAAGTTCACCTGTGAACAAGGAGCTAAGCTTAGTCATGTCCACAGCAGGGTGTTTAACCAGGACCAAGATAAACCAGCTTACTTCACTCCTACAGTGCCACACTAACAGGCCATTTGTGTCAGACATGCCAAACACAGCCCTGTCCCAACACACACTTCCGATAGGCAACGCAGGTGTCATTTTTGTTCTGACATCAGATACTTTGTGTAAATACGATACCCAATAAGTATCTCCAGAATAAGATGTTCATTGGTGATACAAAATAAAAATAAAAACCTGTTCCACTATAAAACCAACTAATACTGTAAATCCAAAACCTTTACAATTCCTGCAGCATATATATATATAAAAAAAAAAAATGAAAAGATATGAACAAAATCTTTTACTGCTCAAGGAAGTAGAATAAATGAACGCTTTTGACTACATAATCATCATCTCAAGTTGTAAACTTTCAGATTTTTTTTTTGCAAAAAAACCAAAAAAAAAAAAAAAAAAAAAACCAAAAACAAATCACGACTTGTTTTTTGAGCTAATAACTATAAATCAGGAGTAAAACATTACAAGGCATGCTCAGAAATGCACAAGTTACTCACAACTTGTAAGTTTGTAATTTCTAAAAGTTTCTCCTTAAATTGTTAAAACTGTCAGGCTTAAAAAAAAAAAAATAAAAATTTTAATAAAGACAGGGAGCTGGATCTTAGTCTGGCATTTCCTTTCTTTCATTGAGTATAACAGCAATTCTGATCTCAACAAAACCAAAAAGTGAGTCAGAAAATTGCAATTACATTAAATAAAAATAGAAAAAAAAAACTGAATTCTACCTTTAGCTCAGAAATCAAAGTTCATTACTTTTTTTTTGAGCTATCTCTAAATCAGGAGTATAACATTACATGGCATGCTCAGAATTGCAATAAAACATCAAACTGTTTTTTGCAAACTTCTTTTTTTTCAGAATTGCAATAAAACATCAAACTGTGTTTGCATACTCTTGCAACTTGTAAGCTTCTTTTTTCTAAAAAAAAAAAAAAAAAAAAAAAAAAAAAAGTTATTCATAAATTGTTAGAATTATCAGGCTTTAAAAAAATTAATCCTGTCTGCAAGAATGAGCTTGAATTTTGATTGTCCATTCTAAACAGGTCAATACAAAGCGTTGATAATGTGAAAGGGCTTAACTATCAAACACCAACAGTCATGCACTAATGTTTTAAGTACACGATCATTCTCTAATCATAATAACACTCACCTCAATGCACACAGATGATTGTTTCTTCGTTGTGCTCAGGTCCAGCATTGTGCGCCCGGTGTCGAGACTGTGGCCTTCAGTCAGTGTGCTGCCCTGTTTATGTTCAGTGACGCTTGATGCAGACAGTGCGTTCAAGCTCATTACGCCCTTCCAGATTAACCTGCACCTATACGAGGCACGCAGGATGCCAGATTAACTAATTACCGTAGACATCAGAGCTGATTTTAACTCTCTTCCTTCCTTTGGAAACATCAGCCTCAACTCTTGATCTAGTACTCATAGTAGCCAAGTCAACATTTGAAGTGGATCAAAAATGGTCCTAAAACAAAAAGTAGGATTAAGACGCTTTTGATGAATGGTTTTGGACTACTTCAATGTTGACTACTGTAGTTGTGTCTGTGTCTTTTTTGTAAGCTGTAAATACAGAAATACGATTTTAATACAAAAATAAGTTTTGCAAGTGAAGTAAAGCTTAATATGAGGTGTTTTTACAAGTTAACAACTATATTGAGAAATTTCAGTATGAATTTATATCCTGTACATTTAACTTAAAGTAAATACAGCTAATTAGTGCGTTATAAATGTACATAAATACATAAAAAATATGAAAAATACAAGATATTCGACATGCACTTCAAGTATTAGCAAAGTGTTCGTTTCTGACCACAAGAGGGCACTGTGACTTTTGGAGTTGTTTAAAAATGTTTCCCATGATTCCCACGCGCTATTTATTGACATCAAGCAGGATGTGAGGTCATTGAGTGAGTGCGTTTCTGCTTGTGTGGAGTGCATGTGAGTGAGTGCTTGTTTGTGTGTGTGTAGACGCATGAATGTTTGTGTTTTATGAATGTGTGTGTGAATGAGGTAACTCTTAAAAAAACCTACACCGTGATCTTATTTGATCTCATCCGAGTTGTTGCCCTGCTCGGATGCAGAGATGATAATAACCGACCCGGGAGCTCCTGTAGCGATGACCGCGAGGCTTTTTTTCACTTGGGGCATCCACAGTGCAAACTGTGGTAAGAAATGATGAATCGATCAGATATACAAGAAAGACAGGGAGCTGGATCTCGGTCTGGTATTTCCTGTATCTTTCACTGAGTATAACGGCGATTCTGATCTCAACTAAACACTGAAAGTGAGTCCCTGAGGCCAATGAGAATCACAGAGCGGATGTGTTTTTCTTTTTTTTTGAAGAGGGAACCAGAGCACACCGGCGTTTTCTCATTTATTTTATTTGGTCAGGCCGCATACACGACAAAGCGAGTAACAATGGTATACTTTTAAGTTGTGTGTATCTCAAGTTTGTACTGTTATGTAGAATAAAAGCCGCCGTCGTGCTTCCGTGAGTAACCTCTGTTTGTAGATGCGGTGTGGTGAGACTCTGTAAGTAACAATGAATAAAAATTATTAAATAATTGAATGGAAGTCTTTTTATTTAGAATTTAAGTTATGATCTTACCTATGGACCCCTTAATACTGTATAGAGATGCTTTCTGTGTGTCGACCCACACTTTAATTCCTTTGTTTTCAGCATCGCAAACTGAATCTTCTAGTTCTTTGTTTTTCTTTGTCCTGTGTGAGGAGAAAAGCAACACAATGACTTTCAGATTCACACTCAATGACCCTGTACACAATGGAAATTACACCTCGTTCAGGTTGTTTAATATTGTCTTTTTTCTAAGTATAAATAAAAAGCTTATATTTTGGAAAACATGATAGCGTGACAAAGGAAAAAATATTGTGACTCACAATAACTAGAATTTCGAGTAACTGGGATAACTTTATCTCGCATCTCTTTTTATGTGAGTTTTTACTTTTCAATTGTGAGTTACAGATTCAAATAGTAATGTACTTGCTATAATCTATTTTGAAAGATGTTTTTCTTAAGCTAACAAAAATTAAGTTTTAAAGCTGAAACCGTGGTGTTTGGTAGTTCGTAGTATGCTAATCAACAGCTACCAGTGATGGTCAAAAACAGCAAGAAGTCAAAACATTATACCCATATCTCTTGATGGTACAATAAGGTGTTGTGAAGCAAAATGATTGGCCTGAGCAAGGATCTGAATGTTGTTTACGACATTACTAATCCACTATACTTGTACATCTTTTTTTTTTAATAGTCCTAATCGCTTCACATTAGAACCAAGAGCTGATTTTATTAAGGTTGCAGCATCCAGAATAAGCACAATATCATTTTGATGAACAAAATAACACACACCACACAGATCTCTGTTGACAATAAACACTATCAGCTCAAATGTGAAGTTACTCAAGTGCATATATCATTACACAAATGCATACTCATGTTGAGGACTTTACAGAGGCTGTAAATTAAAAGTTATGATGTGTATAATGTTAGTTATAGATGAAAATGTTTTTCTTCAAGACTTTATTGTATTGCTAAAAGCCACATGTATGTGGGTTGGGACTCTCACTTCTGTTTGATGTTGATTTGGGTTTTATGAAGAATGAAGGATCATGAATTTAGATTTTAAAAAAATCTTTATTATTCTGTTTAATGAAATAAGTCCTCATCAGGATCATGAGCAAATGTTAATTATTATGTTAAATTAAGAATTTAGATTTTCAATTTGGAGTTTCTTCCCTCGGAATTGTAAGATAAAATTGCAATTGCAACTTTAACAATTAATTGAAAATGTTTTTTTATTGCAAAGAGAAGAAATAAATAGGCATTTTACCCATTATCCGCTCCAACAGTTTCCATCTGCATCACGGTCTGACTTTTGTTTTGAAATAATCCAAGATGATGATCGTAGGCCGCTTTCAGGTGAATGTCCAAACTGTCCTTCGGTGTCTTAAACACAATATCAGCAGTAAGTTCAAACTCACAATCAGCCAAACCAGTGATTTCTTTCAGTAAGTTCATATATAAGTAATAAGTAGTTCAAGTCGTCCTTCTATATTAAATCAACTCACTGTAGTATCATAATGAAAGACAGTTCGACGGGAACTGGCCTCTGTTGTCGTGTTATGGAGTCTCCTCCACGGTTCATCATTTTGTGCGAGATGTGTTGGCTTGTCATCTGACAATTTCTGAGCAAGTAAGGTGAGAATAACAAGTTAGAAATATGTAAATACAAATAAAAAAAACGAACTATAAAAAGCTGGAATATGTAAACTGAAACTGGACAACTTTTAAGTTAAAAAAACATTTACCTGAATTTCCTTTCTCCCTGTTAATGTAAAGTCGTTCTCATATCGCGGGAATGGGAAAGGATCTCTTTCCTGTGGCATATTTGCGCAGTTTCTCCAGATGATGAGTCTAAAGGAATGTAACACATCCGATGTTTGGTATCTTTTTTTTTTGCTGCCAACTTTGTTGTTCCTCCCTCCGTTGCCAAGAAACCGAGTGTGAGCGTCAGTTTTACCACACAGCGCGACAGACCATATTACACACCACAGAACTCTCCTTATTATTAGAAGCTATTAGTACATATGATAAGAAACGCAACAACAGACTTATTCTTAGAATTCTCCAACAAACATTCTTATCGCTCCAAGAGATAAATCATATTGGTCAGCGTTAATACAAGATATTGATTGGAAAAGAACATGTCTTCTCTCATTTAAATATGCAATCCCAAACAAATCAAAGGAAATTCATTTTAAAGTTCTACACAAAATAAACCCGGTCAATGCATCTATGTCAAAATTTACTATATGCAGATACTTGTTTTTTCTGTTTTTTGAAAGTGAGGAAACTTTGACTCACTGATATTTTACATGTAAAATTCCACAAAAGTGTTGGTTAGATTTACATAATTATTTGAATAAATCACAATCAACAAAACAAATCTTTAAATTGAACGATATTATTTGTTTTTATTCTAGTCCCCAAAATTGTAATGAAGAATATATATATAACTTTTTTATTTGTGAAATTCTTTTTCCACCACAAACAAACATTTCTTAAGTCCTCTCCCTCATTTTCCCATTTTTTAATTTAATGAACATTTCCTTGCCCTGTTTAACATAATTTGGAAAATATTTAAAAAAGAAAAAAAAATTCAAAGGGGGGCTATTAATTCTTACTTCAACTGTATGTGTGTGTGTGTGTGTGTGTGTATTTATATATAATATATATATATATATATATATATATATATATATATATATATATATATATATATATATATATATATATATATATATATATATATTAACATTACACCCAGAGCGTTTGGATGTAAAATTTTGTATTAACTGGCAATAATTGTTTTATTTATATTACTACAAAGTAATTAAATTAAAGCAGTTTACTTTAGAATTTCCCATTAAATTGTTGAAACGTAAATAAACAACGTTTCCCCAATGTACATTTACAGAAACTTCGGTTAGCTTTACAGTATCTTGTACTAATATCTAAATTAAATATAATTTTACTATGAGCAAATGATGGATATTAATAAATTACAAACATATACTAACATCAGTTTGATCGTTTTTCACACATATAATTCATTTAACTAATATTACTATCATGTTGTTTTTGTTGTTGAGGACAAACTTTAGATTTTTGGGAACATTTATAATCTTTACAAAGCGGCAATACAAGACAGACACGTTTGCAAGTGTAACTCCATCCCAAAGTGACTGACCAATAGGAGAGCTGAGCGCGTGTGCCAGTGCAAACAGAGTGAATAAAAGCTCAGCAATATTTAAACACAACGTCTGCTCTGTCACACGCTCTGCCTGAAGGAAAAGATCATTTAGCAACAACAATGATTGTAAACCATGTGCTGTTTTCTTCTGGAACTCAAGGTGTTTCTGTCATTTTTTTGCTCCATTTACTTTTAACTGAGGCTACGGAGTTACCCAGCTGTAAAGAGGTAAGTTGCTTTTATTGTAGCCCCATGTTATAAAGGTTGTCTAAGACTGCAGTATTAGGCACTAGAATAGTCTGTGTTACTGTGATTTTTGCATGTTTTGTCCTGTGGATTATTATTTTTATTATTATTAATGCAATATGGTCGAGATCTCACGTTACACAGAGAATGTTGTGTCTCACATGATGACACTGTGAATAAGAAACCGAACAAAATAAAACCATCCAGGTATGAATGAAAAAAAAAACTTATCAAATAAGGGATTCGCCAGGACTGTTTTTTTAATTTAAAAGCTTAAATAATTCCTCAGGAAATACAGACCTTTAAATAAAACAATTTTCAGATGTTTTTGCATTCTCTGTTTCCTCGAGACAAAAATCATGTTTGAATAGGAGTGTTCATGGAAATGTGTCACACACTTTTCTTATCATGTCCAGAGATAAGCTTGTCCGTTGTCGTTTGAGGGCTGTGTGAAAAAGACACCTGCTGTATCGAGCACAGTGTCACATTTTATACGTGGACACTATTGCTGTTATAAATGTAGTGATACCTGTCTTAAAATCTTCACTTATTTGACATAAAAGCACACCAAAAAAAAAAAACAAAAAAAAAAACTTTTAAGCAGTACATTCAATTATAAATGTATATTTCATTTCAGTTTAATATTATTTGTTTTGTTTTTCAAGTAATATATTGTAAGGTCAAAACATAGTTGTTTTTGATTAAGAGCTCAACTAAATATTTGTTTTGACCAATGTAAGATTTTAAGGTTATTTACACAGGCTAGTGCATGCAGATTAAACAGAAGCTCAATATGCTTTGTGTGTTTCCCAGTAATGAGATCGTCTGGAAGGGCATCCGCTGCTTAAAACATATGCTGGATAAGTTAGTGGTTCATTCCGCTGTGGGGACCCCTGATTAATAAAGGGACTAAGCCAAAAAGAAAATGAATGAATGAGTATGCTTTATACTTTCATGTATGTAAAAAATATTGTTTAAGGCAAATGATTTATTTTTCATTGGCTTAAGTGGTCAAATTTAGACGTGAACCATTACCCTAATTTTTTTTAATTGGACGAATGAAAGTTGTTGTTTTTTCGTGCATGTGCTTTGTTACTTGTTTTAAGTTGGTTATTAATTGTGTTTTAATAGTTTTTTACTCTTCGTTTAATACAATTTTAAGCACAAATTATACACCCCAAAATTATGGCCTTGTAAAATATGGACAAATCCATATTTTTGGGTTTAAAAATATAATGAAAAATCTTACACCTGGAGGTTTGGTCTGATCATGTTAATATTATCACAGAACAGCCCCAAAGTTTTAATTCTTTGTCGCTTTTCTTTAAACTCCTACATGTACTTTTTTTTTACATAACTAAATACAAGGTTTTTGAGAATAGTTGTTAATTATTTAAAATATAATATCATTTTGTTATTATTATGACCAGCCATTTGTGTTATATGTTTTAATAAGCACAGGTGACAATAAGCACATTGTTGTTTACATTTTTAGATGATCTGTTACAGTGAATGACTTATTTAACCCAAATCTTTTACATTATATGTGGCATTTAAATAAGGCATAGACTAAAGCCGAGGTGTTTCTGTGACTTGTATATTTTACAGTTTAAAGATTGTTTTAAACATTTATGTGAGGGGAAGAGGTTATGAAGAGATTATTTATTTATTTATTTATTTATTTATTTATTATTTTTCTGGAAGAGAGCGTTTTGTTTGGTTATGTTTTATGTCTTTATATCCATTTGTTGTTTTTACTATTTGATTTTTTTGTGTGGCACTGTTATGAAATGAGCACTCTTGACTGCAAATCAGACCTATCTTCAGGTAAATAAAAGTAACCTAAACTAACCTTTTGACATTTATTTTCACAAAATTTTAACTATTAATGTAGACACATTATTTGCATTTATTAAGCTTTTTTATTATTGTGCATAATAAAATCACATGTATATGGCATTTAATACAGACATTACAATATGTGTGTTTAAATCCATTTTTTTTTTATCAATACAGAACTGAAAATAGACCTTACCACTGACCTTGGAAAAAAACAGTCCAGGTTTTCTGTGGGAGTGAGAGATTCATCAGTTAATCTGACCCCTAAGAAACACCATAGAAACAAATGTCACTCCATTCTGTTGCCTTGGTTTTTAGGTTTCATCATTTATATGCATGTGGGGATTATAACGAGGACAGCTTGTTCTTTCTTTCTTTCTTTCTTTCTTTCTTTCTTTCTTTCTTTCTTTCTTTCTTTCTTTCTTTCTTTCTTTCTTTCTTTCTTTCTTTCTTTCTTTCTTTCTTTCTTTCTTTCTTTCTTTCTTTCTTTCTTTCTTTCTCTTCTCATCTAATACAGCTAATGTAGCAGCACTAACACAAAAACACCTAGGAAGCGCTGCCATGTGGTTTTGTTAACTATTAATCTTGTTTTATTCCACATGGGTCATTCTGATTTGCCTTGTGAGGTGCATGTCTGCTGTTACCTATGGAGCCTTTCGGTCAGCTTTACTTAGATTCATGTTTCTTTTCAGCCCACCTGTTATTCAGCTGACATATACACGCAATTCTAAGACTAATAGTTTGATTTAAGCCACACCTTTTAAGCATCCTATCAAAAATTTTCTGTCAAACTGGTAAACAGACAAACAGGATGTTTGGAGGTGTTAAAGTTTAATTTACTCAGGATTTAATTTCATCAGGCTCTCCCTATTTGCACAATGATGGGGACAATAATATATGCTAAAGACTGCTTGTTTAGACAAGGATACGAAGACATCCTTGAAGTTGGGTGGGACCACCTATTGTGCAAATATTGATCTGACACAGTATTTTAAAAGGAAATGTAATCCTGAGGCATAATAAACATGAAACGATGGTGACCACAAGAAATGTGTATTGTGTGAAGCGCTTTGCATCTCAGCTGTTTAGTGAAAATGATTTAAAGCAATGGTCTCAAACTCAATTGAAGGGCAGTAACTCTGCACAGTTTAGCTCCATCCACCTCCAACTCACACCTGCTTAATTGTCTCGTCTTGAACACCTTGATTAGTTGGATCAGCTGTGTTTGATTAGGGTTGAAGCAAAAGAGTGCAGAGCTGCGGCCCTCCAGGAATCCAGTTTGAGACCTATGATTTAAAGGGATATTTCATCCAAAAATTATGTGTATTTATCCTCAGCTTGCTACAAACTATTTTCAGTTTTCTTGACCACAATAGAAGCTTTTCTGAAGAATGTTTTAAAAAAACTTTTATAGTATTTTTGTTCCTGCTATGTTGAATGTCGGTGAGTGCTTTTCCCCAACATTTCAGAATATCTTGTTTTGTGTTCAACAGAAGAAAGAAATTCATAAGTTTAGAACCACTTGCATGTACGTAAATGGTGAGGAAACTAATTTTTATAAGAGCTCAGAAAGCAGCTATTTGGATTTTTTAATTTTATTTGGATTTTTGGATTAATAGTGACGTAATATTGTAGCAACATGAATCTTGTTGC